GTCTGAAACTATGGCTTGGTTCACATGGAATAAACAGAGCGGTCTGTTTCAGTTCAAGCGCTACCCTGGAGCAATCTGTATTATTGATGAGATTGCTGCAATATCTGTGTATTGTCGTGCTCTGTCCCGGTCTCTTGGGAATCGGTGAGTTGGCAAGAGAACTAAACCTGAGTTACTCTATGCTGTAGGGTAGATACGCGAACGACTAGATGATGAGATTGATCAGCACCGTAACAACCGGTTTGTTCGTACAAGAAAGATTCTCAACTGCGAATTCACGAGGGAAGAGAGGTCGGTTTACCAAGATGGATTATTCGCATCATTACGATACCAGGGTCTTAGTCTCCTGCTACGCAATATCCATATATGCTTCGCAAGACCCGGCCACAACGACTCATTGTTTTGACTACCCAATTAGTCTCCAACAGAGGTAGTAATCCGAGGAGATGCACATTAACACAAGAGAAAAGAGCGGGCACCGACAAGACTTCGTCGAGCATTAACATTATCGTACAGCCAACATTGACCATAAAGAATAGACGACCAAGGAAAAGAAGTAAGAAGAAGCGAAAGTTTTTCAAAGACCCCGAGGCTCACACCAATACACCGCAACAGCCAACCAATCCAACAAGTAAGTTCTCAAAATAACAAACGTTTCCCGCACCTGCAATAAGTACAATGCTGAGTAGGTGACCGAATAAGATAAACAGCCAAACCTTTCCATGTGGGAAAAAAAAGGTGACTACCCTCCCACGATTGCGTATATCGACTAAGGGTTGAACCAAGGGGTAAAAAGGCTACTGTCCTAAGAAAAGAGGATAAGCCAACACATTAAGGGCCTCAAGCCAAGGCCACACCGCTTGACCAGTCTGCGGTTGTGGCACACGCTCTATGTTTCATATTTCATTCAAATCCAAATTGTACACTATTGTCGAGGCCCAAGCCGGCCAGTTCCTCTCACATTAACCAAAAATATTATAAAAGGGAGGGAGAAGAGGAGAAGAAAATGGCGGTAAGGAGGGTATCCCAAGCCATCTGCTTATTTGGTTTTCTTTGTCTCCGCCTGGCGCTTGTTCTCAACAATGCGATTCACGCGGCTGCCCTCGTACTTGGTGCCGAGGAGGGTGTCCCAGAATGTGAAGAAGGGCTGCGCAAAGTTTGTCTTGATGCCCCAGTGTTGGTGGTGGATGTCGTGGTAAGCAGCATTGTTGCTGGTAATTAGCTGAAGAGGGTCCCAGGGGAAAGAGTAACCGCAGTGGTCGTCAACGGTCTTGATCGTCGAGAAGCAGAAGAACAGTATGCCCTGGCGAAGAGTCATACCGGTGAGCTTGAAAGAGACTCCGGCGCCAAGGGTGTCAAGAAGGAAACCCTCAACTGGGTGGTTGTACAGAGCACCGTATGCGTAAGGAACATAGAGACGGTGATGACGGGAGTGGAAATGAGCTGGGCAAAGTCAGTATATCAGAAACGCAAATGAAGGGTTAGCTATGCTCACCATACAACCACTTGTTGACATGCATCAAGCGGTGAAGGAAGTACTGCCAAGTATCAAGCGAGATAATGGCACAGAGGAACTGGATACAGGGAATGAGGAAGTAGTAGATGAGCTTGGCGCCGGTCATTTCCCAATTGGCAAAAGTAGGGCCTTCTTCACCGGTGGTGAGAAAGGGGTAATGGCCTCCAGCAAGCGCGCCAGCGAGCAGTGGGTGTGCAGAGGCCATATTCTTCGAGATGGCATCGGCATTGAGGCCGATCAAACCCAGAATTGAGGGGAGGGCTCGTTGTGCGAGGCGCAGACGCGTAGCCCAGACGGCAATGTTGTGCTCATCCTTGCCGATCATCTCGATTGGCTCATAAATGGCAAGAATGTAGCCGGTGACAATTTGAATAATTTGCTGAACGACGACATCTCTAGCAACATCAAATCGAGAGACGTGGTTGCGTTTTGTGATCTCCTCAGGGGTGTGAAGGCGGTACTCCGGGAAGAGGTCATTGACGTCAAAGTAGTGGAAGATCAGAGAGATGATCCAGTAGACGACAACAGGGGCGACGACGGAGAGCCAAACATCGGGAAACCAGGAAATGAGATCTGGTTGGGGAATGAGGGTGTAGTCTGGTATAGGAGGCAGGCTGGCGTCGAGGACGGTATTGTTTGCCATTATGCCGATGACTGGAGAGGATTCGTTGATCATTATGGTGTGCCCAACCTAAATGTTGGCTCGGGAGGCTCGGGAAGTCAAGGTAGAAGCAAAAGCGCCGACGGCAGCGCCCAGTGGGTGAATATGAGAGGGAGCTCGGTTTGCAGTTTAAAAAGGTGAAGAGAATGTCGGGGAGACTGAGGTCGGAAGAGGTCGAGGAGGCTGCGCAATTAAGAAGGGCAGCGTTTCGCGAAGAGAGATGTCGTCACGCGAGCGAAGGAAAATAAGGAGTGAATCGGGCGAGTCGGACGGGGGCAGCGGTAGGGCGAAGGAATCAGCAGTTAGGGAATGAAATAGGATGCCGATGATGCGTCAGAATGGTAACGGAATCGGACTGAAGACGAACACCGCCATCCAACGATTAGAAGTTCTAGGGGTGATGTTGGAGGTGAAGGCAAGGACTTGCTGCAGGGCGGCGGCACTGATCGGTGATAATCTTATCATTTATGCGGGCATCTTGAACACCAGTTGGCCCACTGCAGACCAGGCCCTCAGCTCCCTAAACGTGCTGGATAGAGCCCAGAGCCAGGCCACTATTGGCCACGGGCGGGAAGATCCCCACAGTTACACACAACCCGCCCTACCAACCCTGAAATTTGTGCCTGGATGCAATCTCGGGTTTCTCGGAGAGTGTGGCTTGCTCCTGGCTCTCCCCAAGTGATCGCGAGACAAAAACGCGTCATGTCCGTCCTGGGAGCGAACCACTCTCACCGGCAGTCAGGCCACTCCCGATTCCGGCTGGGCAGATCGCGGCGTTCATGTAGGCATGCTCATTTTCTTAAGTGCTGCCACTGCCTGAGTTCATCCCCCAGCGAGCCCCCTGTGCAGTTCATTTCGCATTTACCGCGAGCTCGGCACGTGGCGATTGGTGTGGTCTAAGGAGAGTCGCCACCTCGCAAACTAGCAGTGCCACACATGCTGCAACTGGCTCGGTTTCGTGATTACCTGGAGCGAGGTACCAGATGGATGGTGAGAAGATATATCTACAATCTTAGGTGATCATCTTTTGGGGGATTGCCGTTCCTTTCTCTCCATACTCTGGATGTTCTGCTACCTTGTTCGACCTGCTCGTTACCTAGTATGCTTGGATGCGATTGTTTGTCCCATCATTCCTCGGTGCATTCTGGGTGGATTTGGTAGAGGCTGTTTATTATTTGATGCATCAGCCGACGGATCGTGGGCTCAGTCTACCTACGCACCTACCAAGTGCTTAACAATAGCTCGGCTACTGCTGCTGACCAGATGGCCCAACGGCAATGCGTGTTTGGCTGCCAGCAGAATCCCAGCAGGGATTGAACCAGATGATATACCTACGCATACAGCCCCATTGCTTTAAGCATGCACTCCATTGGTAGCATTAACTCGCAGGTGAAGGTTTTTTCCGTCTTTCCATTTGAGCTCCCGCCGTGAATTTATGGACCACTTTCCACATCCAGACTAGCGTATGCCACCCCACCACTGAGCCCCTCCTCAAGTCGCTTCTGTTTTTTTTTCTGGCTCTCAAAAATCGTCTGGCCCTTTGGATCCTCCCCGCGCTCCTCCAACATCTGCCTTTCTCATCCACTTGCTTTCCCTCTACGAGTCCGTTTGATCACTTCGTACAACTAAACCGCCACCATGATTATTTACAAGGTACGATTGATGGAACCTTCCTCACACCCAGGCCCCTCACAGTCTTCGCCATGCTCTCTCTCCGGCTCTGCCCCGCCATGGCACTCTGGCTGACCCCGCAATTGTTCAACAGGATCTGATCACCGACGACGAGATCATCTCGGACTCGTACGACCTCAAGCTTATCGATGACATTGTCTACGAGGCCGACTGCGCCATGATCACTGAGGGTGCTGTCGAAATTAGTATGTAGCATCGTCGAACCCCGCTTTCCGTCCAAGTGGATGATGTCTTGTAAACTGTTGCTGATACCTCTCGCTGGATAGACACTGGTGCCAACGCCTCCGCCGAGGAAGCCGACGAGGCCCTCGATGATACCGAGGTCAAGGTCAACAACATCGTCCACTCTTTCCGTCTTCAGACTACTGCCTTCGACAAGAAGTCCTACCTCACCTATCTTAAGGGTACGTACAGTCGACCCGACCCTGGTCTGTAAATTTCATCCTCACACCAAGTTTTAGGTTACATGAAGTCTGTCAAGACTGGTCTTCAGGAGAAGGGTGCCAGTGCCGACACTATTACCGCTTTCGAGAAGGGTGCCTCGAAATACGTTAAGGAGAAGCTCCTCCCTAACTTCAAGGACTTTGAATTCTACGTTGGCGAGTCCCAGAACCCCGACGGCATGTAAGTTGCGGAAATGCCTTCCCCCCATATTGCACCCCAATATGTATGCTGACCATGACTTCAAGGGTCGTTCTCCTGAACTACCGCGAGGATGGTGTTACCCCTTACATCATTGTCTGGAAGCACGGACTTTCCGAGATGAAGGTCTAAGCCTGCATTTGGCTCTTCTGTGCAGATGATAGGTGGTAGCATCCGGGATGGGGACTGTGATTTACGAAGCCCAATACTTTTCTAGCGCTGGCATAGTATTGAAAAAATTACCCAGATGGGGTGAAATGAGTGCAACGAATCGGGCAAAATGAAGAAGAATGAATAAAAAAAGCCAACGCAAGCGGCAATCTGCATGCCTTCAATTCAATGACCAATTTCGAGATCAAATCGGTGACATTATCACAAAGTATTGTAGATGTAAGCAAATCATGAGGAACCCTTGCGCCTTAAACTCCCCTGCCAATCCCAAAGACTACCCATCTACTGTATCTGCAATTCCCACATATCGCCATACAACTAAAACCGAGGCTTCGTCGATAGGGGGATCGGTGGCGGCGCATCTCCATCATCAGCAGGAGGTGCAGGTGCACGAGAAGGAACCGGCGCAGCCTCCGAGCCTCCCCCTAATCCCACTTTCTTCTTTGGCGGAGGGGGCGGCGGGGGCTTCTTCTTCCCAGCAAGCCCCGGGGAAGGCGAGTCGTTTGCACGCTGTACGGGGCTCTGCGACGCCGCACCGAACCTTTGAGGCAGGGGCACGGGTGCAGAAGCAGTGGGCCCGGGAGATGGGCTGTTCCGACTGTTCATCTTGCTGAAGCGGTTCTGGAGCTCATTGAGCTGGTTGACGCTCCCGCTGGAGTCCTGGCGAGGAGGCGGAGGCGGAGGGCCTGGGGAGGCGGCGGATCGCCCTATGCCGAGGGCAGCCACCGAGACGCCAGCGGCGCCCAACCGGTTCACGGCGTTTTGGTTCAGGTAGCCGTCGTCTGCCCCATGGCTGCTGGCTCCCGAGGGCGTTGCAGGAGGCGTGCCAACGTTCGTTCTTGCCGGTAGGCGCGGGGGGAGGCTTGGCTGCTGTGCGGGCCTCGGAGGTTGTTGGGGATGGGTCAGGGCGGTGTCATAGGACGGTGGGCTCCTCCCATCAGCGCCGTCTCTCCGTCCCGGCGGCGGGGGTAGGTGATTTGTCGAAAGACCTGTCGTATTGGCCCGGTAAGGACCTCTTGGAGCGGCCTCGCCCTCCTCCTCCTCCAGTTGCTGGGCACTGCCCCCTCTTGGTGGAGGCGCCGGGTTGAGAGCTCTGGGATCTTGATAGTTTGAGGGTGAGGTAACGACGCTGCGTTTTTCTTTGGTTTGGGGTGGCGGCGGTGCGAGGCCGGAGCTGGTGCGACGAGGAGGGGGGGCGAAGGCGGACGGGTCCTTGAGCTGGGAGAGGGGAACGGAGACGTGGTCGTTGTTGGACGAGTCGTTGGACTTGTTGCGGTGAACCAGGTTGCTCTAGAGAAACTGGGCGGTTAGGTGGCCGATAATTCTGTAATGTCACCGAAGAGAGACGTCTTTAGCCCCGAGGGAGAGTGAGTACGTACGACCTGGCCTCGCACCTGGCCGCGCATCTTGCCCTGACCGGGCTTATGGTCGTTCCATTTGGTCTTGGCCTTATCTGTATATTTCGACATCGTCGAGGGCCTTACTTAGGTCCACCGACCTGAGTCCGAACCGAGCGATTGGGCGGCTGCGAGTTGGCAGGCGATCCTCGGCGAGAAGCAGAGAGTTGGAGATGCCCGGCACAGATGAAGACTTGGTTGAGGCTGATTGTGAGCCCAAAGTAAACAAGAGGACCCAACAGAGATTGACGTAAAACGGGCAGTACCTGGCGTCAGATCAAATGTGATGGATGGATGTACATATCTGGATGTACCTGTATCCACAGAATAATCGGCGGGGCTTCGGGAGCCAACGCTGAATCCCGGCGCATGGCAAACCCCGGTTCATCAGCTAATGCAATCTGCTGTCCGTGTATTCTTCCGTATCAACGGCATTTGGAGGACAGGGTTGGTTGCTGGACTCGATTGCGTTTGTTCGCATCTGATTGATTTTAGTCCTACCTTGCTGGCCTTGGAAAACCCTCGACCACTCACTTACTCTCAACTGCCCTCAAGCACGAACCGCCGAGGCGCGTCGCCCTTGACTTGAGCGCGTCGCAGCCTCAACGGTCTCTACATCTTCCCAATTGCACCACCACACACTCTTGCGACAATGGAGTCGCAAACGAATTCCGACTATGAGCTCTTAACAGAGCACCTGGGATACCCCCCGGTGGTACGTGACCAACTGTTGTCCTCGCTGTACGCTTCACCGAGCTAACCCCCCGCCATAGTCTCTTCTCGACGACATCATCAACACCGTCAACGTCCTCGCCGACCGCGCCCTCGACTCCGTAGAACGCCTCCTCCTCTCCATCCCACCCCAAAACCTAGGATTCACAGCCTCGAAATCCACCTCGAAGCCGCAACCGCCCCCCGAGGATGCCGCCAAGCTGGAGATCGAGACCGGCACCCACAAGCTCGAGACCCTCGTCACCGCCTCCATCGACCGCAACTTCGACAAGCTCGAGCTCTACGCCATGCAGAACATCCTCACCGTCCAGCCCCGCGAGCTGCACCCCCACGTGCGCCTCGCCCACTACGCCGGGCTCGACTTCCCCGCCGAGGAGGAGGACCCCGCAGCAGCAGCCGCCAGCGACAAGCCCACGCTGGGGAGCGTCACGGCGCTGCGCCGCCGCGTCCAGGCCTCGCAGAAGCTCAACGTCGAGCTGCAGCGCGAGCGCGACCGCAACGACGCCCTCCTGCGCAACCTGCGCGAGGTCCTGGGCGTCGGCCCGGACGGCGTGAAGCGGGAGGAGGACACGGCCGAGGGGGCCGCGCAGCCAAACAGCAGTAGTACCTTTGGGTTCCTGGGCAGGGGGAGGACGGTGCTGTCGTCGATAGGCTCGAAGACGCCCGTGACGACCACGACGCAGTTCACCCTGTCGCAGCTGCAGTCGCTGCGAGCCGTCTCGCTCTCGCTCAAGTCCCTGCTGCCCGAGCTCGAGGCTGCGCAGGCCGCGGCCGCGGACGACGCGGCGCCCGGGAAGCGTTCGTGGCGCCGTGAGCGTGCCGAGTATGTCGAGGCAGCGTCGCGGAAGTACCTCGAGAACACGGGCGGGCTGGAGCTGGGCAGCCAGGGAGAGGTGCGGGACGGGGAGTATCAGGGCCAGGGGCGGAATCTTAGCAAGGGGGATGTCGAAGGGTTGGAGAAGGCCGTCGCGATTTTGAGAAATAGCGAAGGAAGAAGTACTGAAGCTGGGGAGGAGCCTCGCGATCCATCATGATGTCCACGACGGGAAGGTTTTTAATGAGGGAATGAGATAATAATCAACGGTCATCTAGAACTTGGAAAACAAACTAAAGTCAAGGCGGCGCAAAACGTGATGATCCGTTTTTTTATATGGCAACTTCTTATGTTTTTTAAATCTATGTTAATGTACATCAAGCAGGGGGTATGATTACATTGAGATGCAGCCCTGCCGTTCGATACAACAATAAAATGGTAGCTCGATACAATCCATGTAGATATAATACAATATCGCAATGCCGAGGCAAAGGCCATCAGAGCCGTGGCCTGCTTTAACGCTGCTAGTAAGTATATTGCACAACCCGCTTCAGCGCGAACGGCTCTTTGGTCATGTCGAGTAGACCATGCGCGTGAGCCAGATGCCAGAAGTAATGATGCCATCTTCGTTCATTAACCTCTTCCTCTCGGCTGAGCAGCTCCTGAAGCACCTCATCCACAACTCTCTTAGCATCATCCATCCGACGGTCTTCGATGAGCCCTATGAGTAGCTCACGGAGACAGAATAGCCTAGTCGGGGGGCGTCCCGCCTGGCGAAGCTCATCATAAATGGCGAGAGCCCGGGCGGTGTCTCCGGTCATTGCGTAGGCACTCAGGACGTGTTCCCAGAGGCGCTGGTCACCGGTGTCGATGCCGGTGAGCCCGTGCTTCATAAGGAGCTTCTGGATTGCTGTGCTATCGTGCAGTCCCCGTTGCAGGTAGCGATCAATGAGAATCAAAACCATGTGCGGGGAGAAACTGGGGTGGCCATGCTGACGCATATGTTTCTGTACGGCCTCAATGGCTTCTTCAGATCCATTTGACAGTGACGAGACAGCAAAGAGCATCTTTCCGTACATCTCCATGTTTGCTTGCAGGCCAGCGCCTTCGATGTCAGCAAAGACAGTATTCACCGCTGCCACCTGTTCGGCTGCTGTAGCGTGGACCAATGACCCGAGGACCTCCTCGAGAATAATGGTAAAGGTTGCGTTATCAGGTTCGATGCCCTGGGCGGCCATCCCCTTCAACAAGCCCTGGATGCCGGCCTGGGCGTCGGCGCGCACCTCCTTTTCCCTGAAAGTTTCACGTAGGATGATATTGTATGTTCTGACATCAGGCTTGATACCCTCTCGGCCTGCCCATTCCAGCACCTCAAAAGCTGCTTTTTTGTCACGCCTGATGAGGCCACGGAAAGCGCCGTTGAAAACCTCAATGGTAGGCTGAACAGCCTCATGCGGGGCGCGGCGGTTCACGGCATCTTTCCATAATTTGAACATGTTTACCAGGGCGGCAATGCCGTCCTCTGGCTTGCCCAGCTCGATAAGACCAGAGATGCGCTCAGTCCAAGCATGTGTGTCGAGCTTGACCTTGGCACCGATGAGCATTCCCCACAGGGCTTCGATCTTTTCGGCATCCTTGGAAATCTTCCACCCGTTCATCATTGCCGTGTATGTTCTAAGAGTCGGCTCAAGCCCAATTCTACTCATCAAGTCGTTGGTTTCTTGGAGCATATCTGGCCGACGGGTCGCGCACCAAAGAAAGTGCCAGTAGTCAAGAAAGTCGGGATTCTCCCGCATCTGGATGATGAGCTTCGGTTTGTCCTCTGAGGCTGACATTAGATCTTGCCATATCGATATGATGGCTCTAACATTATCGGCCTTGTGAGCCATACGGGCCTGCTTCTGAATATTGGCCAGTAAATCGATTGCTGATAGATTTTGGAGGCCTTGCCGCCAAGATGCGTCGGGTCTATTAAGGAAATCGGGGACCTTCTGGGACCATGACTTCCCAGCTAGAACCCTCAGTCGGGTGGTATCTTGGACAGGAGTACCGATGCAGTCGCAAAGGAACTCGTCAATATATGCATTATCAACCTTGCCATACTTGAGCGCAACCTGAACGACCTCGAGGAAAGGAGCTGCTATTTGTAGCCGTCTTGGCCGTAACAGGGTGGAGTCTGACATGACGGCCATTGTGCTAAGAACGGCCGGGATAATGAACTTTATGTGCCCAATCTCATGTTGGTTGAAAATGGCAGAGAATGCCTTGGTGGTATTGTCCACGACTGAAGATCCCTTCTTATATTTGGGTTTCTGTTCTTGAAGAGCCTTGATATCCTTCACAAGTTCTTCTGGAGAAGGAAAGACGAACCGTCGCTTCCAATTCCTCTGGCTGGGCCGGCCCATCTGGGAAACCATCTTCCACAGGTCAACCATTTCATTCAACGCCAAATTGCGCCGGGCGTAATCCGCCTCGATTTGAATGACAGTGCAGAGGCCGACGATCATCTTGTTGGCGAGTCGCAAATCTCTTCTGCCGAGAAGGAGGGACATCCTCAACAAGGATGTGTAGGCTCCGGCTTCGAAGTAGTGTTTGTTGACCATCTGATGGGAAACCGTGTTGATGATTTCATTAGTTAGGAGGTAGAGCTGCTTTGGCAATGGCTGCCCGAGAGCAAAAACATGAGGCCAGATTTCTTCTCTCAGCATTCGATTGCTCTCTGCCGCAGGCTTCGTCTTCTGCCTTTTCAGCTCGTTGATCATCGCAGTGATCTCCCAGGAATCAAGCGCGGCCTTTTTCTCTAGAGCGTTCCCGGCGGATGGCTTGCTAATCTCCGTGTTTTCATCATCTTTGCTGACAATTTCGTTGAAGAGGGCTATATGATCAACTGGCTTTCTCTGCGGGAGCCTTCTCTGCCGGGATAGCTCCCTCGGCTTTCTATCCGGTTGAGAAATATGGCTTCTCGGCGAGTTTTCTTCTCTGACAACCGTGGCAGTGGGCTTGGGGGTTTCATGACTCTCAACCAAGGTCGTGAACCGAGCTACGGCAGCAGACCTCTGGGAAATGGAGGATGTCAGGTGCGAGGTGCACCTTGAGCAAAGCGTCCTAGAGGTGGACATATTGTCAAGCCACGGCCGCAATGCCGCGAATTGGGGCCACTACTCTATACTAGAAACGAGTATGAAATCATTGAGATTTCATCTATTACCTCTCTCGAGGCGATAGATATGTGTCGTATGGCATATAAATGCGTTGAATTTCTCGGTTGTAGAGAGACCCTTTTTTTCGGCGTTATCGGGAGGATACATAGAACTACCTGACGATAACAGCCAGCCAATGAGATACTGCAATGCATGCAAAGCTTCTCCACATTAAGTCTTCAGCAACTTCACTAACATCGCTCGAAAGAGAGTCAGAGGACTGCGAGCCAAATATAGGCATGAATATAGATACAATTTGGTTCTCTTTTCTAGCTCCTTTCCCACACGTCATCTTCGTGACATGTGTTATCCTTCTCTGATTAAGAAGGAAGAATTATTTGGAAAAGACTGCTCTCGGCACATCAAAGCTAAAATATCATGTCGGTTGTTGACACCCTCCAGCCAACGTCTATACATGCCTTTATCCATCTCTATGGTCAAACGCCTTCCGCTCATCCCGCTCCTTTTGGAGCTTGCTAAAGAAAGAAAGGTAAACAAAACAGACAATTCAGCAGGAAGCTCCTGCAAACAAAACGCCACCCCACGCTAGCTGTTGTATCGATGTTAATTGCTGCCACAAGCAAGCCTTCCGATGCAGTTTTCAACCCGCCCACAAAGCCCAGCCAGCCGGCCTCCCTTGCACCTTGATGATGTGATCATGTACACTGACGCACTGCCCTATTTTACTGAACAACCTCAATATTACTTTTCCACATATCACTGGCGGCGTCGGGTCTTCGATGGCGGTGCAGCCGCCAGCGCTGCCGCAGCCTCCCTCTTCTTCGTCTGCTTTCTAACTCGAGGGGGCGGGGGAGGCTCGCTGTGGAGGTGGCCAAGCTCCTCCAAGGCCATTGTGTTTTCCCACTGCAGACATCTGTAGTTTGGCACCTCGGGGGTCTTCTCCCGGATGCGAGAGCTCGTTCGCTTGTTTTCTCCTTTCCTCTCCTTCTCGTCGGTACCGGCAAGGTAGTCCTTTCTCTTCTCCATGTGCGAAATAATCTTGTCCTTGTAATTAATGAGTTCTTTGCGAAGCTTGATCTCATTGATGCCCCGGTTGTCCAGCCACTTGATGAGGCCCTCGAGCTGTTCTGGTTCCGAGATGTAGCCCCACTGTCGGGCGTTGAATACGCTGGTGCTTCCTTCTTCTTTCAGCTTTCGTTCGGGAACCGTCATGTTGAACTTGGTCTTGTATTCATCCTGGTATTCTTTCGAAACCTCGATGAATCCCTCACGTTCTATTTCATCTGGTCCCTGAACCCAGATGCAGCCATTTGCGTATTCAGCGGCGGCCGTTGAACTATTTGGAAGACCGCCGTAGGGCATGCCATTGCGCTCAAACCAATAATACCGATTCCAAAATCGATCCTTGCCAAGAACCCTAGTTCTGGGGCAGTCGGCCTCGCGAAGGTCGTTTTCGATAACGGCAACCTCCCCTTCACAATTCTTGATAACCTTCTCTTTCTCTTGGATTTGCTTGAGCAGCTTAATAAAGTCCTTGGACTGGGCGGGAAGCTTTGCCGCAGCCAGTTTCTGGGCCTTCTCCTTCTCCTTGCGCTCTTTCTCCTCCTCCCGTTTGCGCTGATGCTCAGATTGGGTTCGTCGGCGTTTCCTCCGCGACTTGGGATCATCGCCGGCATTGCTATCCTCGTCCTTGACTTCAAGAGTAGTATCAGCGTCAGTCATTCTTGAATCATCGTCCTCTTCCTTGGCAGGCGCTAGAGGTGGGGAGGGAGGCATGTTGTCGGGCAGTAAAATTTTCCGCTGCTCGTTCAACTGGCGGAGCTCTTCGAGTCTAGATCTAGTGTCAGTGTTTCCTGGTCATCCTGCATCAAATAGGTATGAAACTTACGCTTGCTTCTTTTGCCTTTGCCATTCAATCTTGTCCTTGCGGTACTTTGTCATTGTTTCACTGCAGTCTTCCATGTAGCCTCTCACAGCCTTGGTCTCCATGGTCAGCATGCAGATGATCTGCAATATCTTGACCCGGTAATTGATATCAAGTTCCGAGTATGCCTGACGG